TGCGGGGTAGTGCCTGGTGCAGCCTCGGGGGGAGCCGGCCTCAGTCCCTGCCCCCATCAGCAATCGCCCGCAGAGCAGAATGCCAAGGCCTGACTCCGGTGGTCAGCTGGGAAGTGACTGTCCGGCACATGCTGGACCCCCCACCCAGACTGGAAAACCCCCCTTCCTAACCCCCCAGGAGAAACCTGGGAGCACAAGCCCATGTTAAAATGAAGTAACAGGAACTTTTAGTGGTGTGAAGAACCAACTCGTTAAATAGGCAGGAAAGGGCCAGGATCGGGCTGCTGGAGCAAGGAAGCAAATCTACTTCTCTCTGCTAAAGCCAGTGCAGCGTCTCAAGTGTGTGTGGTGGGCAGCTGTGTTAAGGCTCAAAAACGGATCCACCCCGGCTTGGGAACACCTTGGTGCATTCTCTCCTAAACTTACATAAGCGGCGAGGAGTCCCGTGGCACCTTATAGACGAACTGAAGTGTAGGAGCATAAGCTTTCCTGGGCAAAGACCCACTTCATCAGATGCATCTGACGAAGTGGGTCTTTGCCCAGGAAAGCTTATGCTCCTACACTTCAGTTAGTCTATAAGGTGCCACAGGACTCCTCGCCGCTTTTGCAGATTCAGACTAACCCGGCTACCCCTCTGATACTAAACTTACATAGAAACTTAACATCTGACTCAAACTGGTGTGTTATGTAGATTTTCATAACATAGGGATTAGATACAGTGCTCCTGCAGCCAATGTCTTCTAAGTGGTGATCTGCAAAAAACCTAGAGTTTCCAAGTGTCTAAGGAGCCCCGGAACCAGGGTTTAAGTTGTTCCTACCCCCAGTCGCAACCTGAAATCACGCCTGGAAGTCAGACCAGACATTCCCAGTGCCCCTACGGCAAACCAAGCTGTCAAGAGTCCCGCTGAAGAGGGACGTGCCTCTCCCGTGGAGCCAGAGGGACAGAGTTCTTTGATTTGCTTTATTTTCAGAATATTAAAAGTGACACTTCCTCTTCAGCATGGGCTGAAAGTGAAATAAAAGGCAAAGAAAACGTTTCTCTCTGACACAGCGCAGAAGAGGACACAGTCATGTCACCTCATCCCAACGCCCCAGGAGTGGCGCCCTGCTGCCTCCAAACCGACACAGACCAGGGCGTGTCCTTGCTCTGGACGGCAGCCAAGGAGCTCTGAGATAGCGGCATTCCCAGGACGTCCCTCGCCCTGTTCAGTCTGAGGGGCTCTGGCATTCCCGGCAGTCTCTCATGTCCTCGGAGTAGTTCTCAATCTGGATGGTGGTGGTGTGGAAGTTGAACGCCCCTTGCAGCTGGCAGCTGGCCTCCTTCAAGACCGTCTGCGCGTCGGGGGTTTCGTCTGCAAGCCCCCAGCCTCTGAACACGCCAGGCTGCGCCGCACACACGGACCCGCACAGACACGGCCGTCTGTGGGCTCGCCCGCTGACATGGCCACGTCAGGGCTCGGGGCAGAAGTCACCAGAGGAGGTTCTCTGGGCTGCATCATGCAGGGCTTGGAGGGGCGGCCACAACGGGCCCCTCTGGCATTAAATTAAAAAACCCCAAAACCCTAAAGTGGTGATTCTTCTCAGCGCAGTCACCAACCTGGCCCAGGTGGGTCTGCCCAGACCAGACCCTTCGCAGGATCAAGGTCTCGAACTGTGCAGGGCAAGGGGGGGGGCTTTTTGGGTCAGGGGCTGCTGACTCACAGAAAAAAAATCAGTTGGGGGCATCCCACAAGTGAGAAACAAAACGAGCAAGCCCCCCCCGGCCGGGGCCCCGACTGAGGAGGAGAAAGCCCTGCCCCACCTCCCCCTCGCACACCAGAGCTGGGGGGGGGCAGGCCAGTGGGC